TTATACCTTAGAAGTATAGTTTAGCCGTAAAAGGGGTGTAAAGGAAAAATGATTGCCTATTTATATATATGATGATAAGGTATCATTGGTAAGGTATTTTCTCACCCTTTTAATTTCTTTGCGAATGAGCTCATTCAAAGTATGAAAGAGGAAGGTAAGATAAACGCGTGCTGAATTAAGTTGAATTAAGTTGTGTTGGTATTTGATAAAGAAAAATTTGGAACATGAATGAGGTTTTTTTTCGCAAAGAAGTAAAAAGGGAGAGAAAATACCTTCACAATGATACCTCACAAGTCTATATCGGTAAAGTTTTGAAGCAGTTATTCAACTTTTTCTTACACAAATCTTTGAAAAAAGTTAAAAAACATCATCAAAAATCTCATTATTATGATTCCGTTCAAACAATTTTTTAAAAGTTTTATGTAGATTTTTTAAGCTTAAACTGCTTTGTCATCTGAGGGGATTTTTTCCAAAAAATCTTAACATTTTCCCCAAATATAAGTCTTAAAATATACTAGGTTTGGTAGTCCCGCCAGAAAAGCCGCAACTTTTTTTGGTGGTGCAGTCTAATGTACAGTAGTCGAAAAAATTATAGCCGCACCAAATTTTCACAAGTTTTAAAATATTATTTTTGTTGTTAGTTAATTCTGGTTATTTTTTTATAGTTCAATCTTTAACAACATCCGTGTAAATACAAGTTTAAATGCAGTGTCACACGATTGGGTATTTGCCAAAATTTGGTGCATATCGTGTGAATACCCAAATATTTTTCTTTATCCCTATCACGAAAATTAATTTGTTGAAATTTTTCAATAGAACATCGCTGTATTGTACCAATATTTTGACTACAAAAAAAAATCCAATTTTTTTATTTTGTACCAATAGCTCAATACAAAAATGTACTAATCTGTCCAAATGTACCAATCGAGTGCCACTGCCTTAAAAATTTATGCAATTAAAAAACAAATTCAACAAATTTTCGTAAAAATTAGCTTACTTACTTATATCTATCTACATTTATCTATCTAATCTAATCATATATTAGGTCAATTCTTTTGTAACCGAGCTACAAAAGAACACTCGCTTAAATGACGAAATACACGCAAAGCAACAACACAAACTCGGCTATTTATCCGAGTTCAGCCAGGTCGGTTAAAAAATACGCGACCTGAAGTGTAGTGTTGTTAAGTGAAAAAACCGCTCTATTGTGAATTGTTACTGGGAAATCGGAGAGGGAAAGTTTTGTTTTCGTATATACATGATATATATTTGAAATAAGTATATATATTATGCAAATACCTCGCATAATAACTAATTTCTATTGTTTTTTGTGTCTAAATCCCGTTAAACTAATCACATGTTTCTTGCCAGCTACCAGCAGGGTTGCTTAAGTAGCTAAAATGAAATTTTACCCGAGTTGAACGTTCTTTTGTCGCTCGCTTACAAAAAAATACAGCTATTATAAGAAATTAAGAACTACGTTATTGGATCGGCCCTGCCACCTTAAGCGCTAATTTTTCCTCTTAGTGAGAGTGGTAACTAAGCCGTGCCCTTTCGACGTCTTTTTGTTCTCTAAATGATTCCACGCGTAATATACCTCATGTCACATGAATTCAGAGAGTTTGTCGTACATTAATTTAGTTTTAGTTTTAACGTACTCCAGCACCTGAAAATTTTGGTTTCCTGAAACTTATATATGGAAGCCATTGTCCCAACCCCGAAAACCGAGTGATCTCTGTAGTATTCAGTTCTTATCCTTGCCATTGCAATTGTGAGCGTCCTTAAGTAGCGATATAAAGAGAGCTACCATGGGCACTGGTTGTTGATGAACTCCCAGAACTCACTATGGCTGCCCGACGAAATCAGCATACAAATTGGGAATCATCGGGGTCATTTGGAGGTTCTCAAGCCATTCCTAGATGACACCGCAATCAAGCTCCCAGCGCTCATCCTTCGACAAGTCCTGCAAGCTCAGAATTCCTGAAAAGTACTGCTGTAAAGCGATAACATTTTTAATTGACAAATAGTCCCGGGTTTGTAATACTTACGGATTTAAGATGACCGATGGAGTACTGGGGCAGGCGTACTTGGACCAAGATTCCGGAATAGTCTGCTAATGTTCATATACCCAACCATATTCCTAGGGAAGTCTTCGCAGTCGAAGTCTGTGCTCAAGAATATCTTTGTAGAAGAACAAATGAGGCCAGCACAAATACTACATCGGAGAGTCAGGAAGCATTTAAGGTCTTAGACTCATCTTGTTGACAGTTGTAAAAACTCATTTGTACAACCTAGAAGCTTACAATAGAGTAAAGCAGTGGTGAGTGGTGGATAATAAGTGTTTGAAGGCAACATAAAGGCTAAATGTGGAACCCAACTGCGCTTGCGTAGTCTCGAGCCATTCTACGGTACATCTAAGGGATACACTGCAGAGCCACTCCGGAGCTAGGAAGAATCTCAGATTACTGCGCACTGGCGGTAGTCAAAGAGAATGTGGCAATCAAATAAATTGCTTCTAGGCGGTACACTAAAAGACTGCTGGAAACTAGCCGGGAGAGTCTTGAGACTCTTCCAAGCTACCTGACAGGACACTGCAAGTTAAGGTAACGTTTGAATAAAATGGAGTTTGATATAGACACGCACTGCTGGTTGTGTGGGTTGGTAAACGAAACTCCAAAGCATATTCTATGCGACTGCCCACGTATCATGAATTGCAGACTGATACACCTTGGGGAACGATTATCTTCTCAAGCTCTGATTTACAAAGGTCAAAGGGGAAAGGCATAATGCATAACTTCCGGACCGCAATTCCCACTGAAAGTTATGATACCATAATACTAATTGGTTTTTTAAACCCAGTAATAACTTCGGTTTTTAAATTAATTTCTTTGCTTTTCAGGCTTTTAGTGTAGTTTTCCAAAAGGCCATTGCACGCGCCGATCCCGGCGAAACTTTAGATGCACGTGTTTCTAATCTAATCGATTGTATAAGTTATTCCGTATTTCAATACACTTCGAGAGGTCTATTCGAATGCGATAAGCTCATATTCGCATCGCAAATGGCTTTTCAGGTACTTACTATCATTTAATTATTAAAAATTTGGTTTGTAATTTCAACTTATAAAACCTAATTGTTTGCATCTTCTCAGATACTTTTGATGAACGAGGAGATTACATCTACGGAACTGGACTT